ATGCTGTGCCCCAGTGCCCACAGAAGAGGAATGCCTCTGTTGCAAGGAATGGGACCGGTTGCAGCCTTATTTTCAAGGTCTGGATGTGACTGAGGACGAGACACCTCCACCTGGAGTAGTATCCAGCTGGGCTTTGTCTAGAGCTCGCTAGATTTCAGGCACGGTATGAGATCGCTGCTTGTTCTCGCAATATTTTGGCCGCACTTTGGAAAGCAGAGCTAAATGGTAAACAAACATGGCAGCACACCGGTAAGGTAAGACAACACGTTTACATGTTGTTTTCTATATGTTCTCTGACATTTATCCTAACAATATGAGGCGGTCTTTGTGGGAAAAAAAGCTTTTTTAGTGGACTAACTTTGCACTTGAAGTATGCCCGTTCACTTACGTTTTAACAGGTCTGACGCTACTATGCACCCCGGCTGTATCTAGGCTAACGGCTAACATGCTAATTATTATTTTTATGTCACTAGTCACTTGAAACAAATTTAGGACGATAGGAGACAGGTTGAAATAAACCGAAATTTCCCTTTAAACCTCAGACATCAGTTTAAGGCATCATATCACAAAAGAAAAGGAAATGCATGTGGGTTATGCAGACGATAAAGTTGTGGTACTGTTGCAAAAAAACTTAAAGATCTTACCTTTCATTGATGCATTTATCCTTTTTTTTCGGGATTTCTGCCAACTGGAGACTGACTGTGTCCAAAAAATCACAATCTTGCTTTCTCACCGTATTCTGTGATTTTACAACAGTAAAGCTGTTTTATGAAATCAAACGGTCAAAGTGCAGCCAAGTGCAAACAGATTCTAATTAAATAAGTGTGTGCATAACACCTGTAATTATATTAATTTTCACATTAAAGTTAAATAGTTGTACCATCTTTGTCTCTCTGGAGAAAAACAGAGGGAGGACTCAAACACAGACAAATACACAGCAGGCAAGCAGGTAGGATGAACTGAAATTTTCTGAGGCAGTGGTCAGGAACAGATTAACATTTTGGCATTATCATCATCAGGATGGCAGTCTGAACTGTAAAACAAATATGAAAATGAGTTACAACATGACAAGATGTGGATGAGAGAGGGACAGGTGGAGGAGTCAGAGGGTTTCTGGTAAATGGAGAGTTCCCACTAATGCATGGGCCTGGTAGAAGTGAGAAGTGAGCTGTGAGCTGGAGATAGGGGTCTGATGATCCTTCTGATCACCCTGCTGATTGAAAACATGCCTCCTCTTTGATTTCAGATGCCATATCACCAGACCTCTGCTCAGATAATGAGAGGTCCCACCTGCACATTATAAAACTTCACTCCTCATGTTACAGACTGTACTGTAGCCTCAGCATGATGGATCAAAGTGTTTATAACACTAAGTTGCCTTCTTCTATTCTGTTTCACAGCTCTCTCTACTGAACAGTTGCTGCCCCCTAGAGGACACAGAGCTGCTGTACATGCTGCACATGATAAATGTTGACAGTTATAGCTGTTTCTCAGTTAGACTGAAATGTGTGTTTTGGGCATCAGTTGCGTCTTCATTCTTTCCTTGCTTTCCAGAATCCGTTACAATAAAGCCATAGCTTTTATGAGCTTGCCGACAGCAAATTAAAATGTAAAAAATATTCTTTTTAAATATTTTTATTGAATCCAGACAAGAATGTACATCAACATTAATGCAATCAGTATCCAGTTTTTTGTTTGTTTTTTTATAAAAAATATTCTTGAGACTTCTCAGTAAGAGCCAGCTCACCCCGAAACTGCTTGTGTCCTTCTATCACTGCTCCACAGAGAGTGTGCTGACGTATGTGTGTGTGGTATGCCAGCTGCTCAGTAGCAGACAGAGAAGCGCTCCAGAAAATTATCAGCTGTCCTCTCCCTCTATGGAAGAGCCGTGCAGTTCCCGCTGCCTCCAAAAAGGCCCAAAACATTCTGAAGGACCCATTGTACCCAACACACCACCTGTTTGAACTGCTGCCCTCGGGCAGGAGATACAGGACAGTTCAATCAGGGATAAGGACATTGAAAAGCAATAACTGCACATAATGAATTCATAAAGGCTTGACTGTGGAAAATATGGAGGCGAAATTGTTTAGTGTTTTACTTTTTACTATTTAGTTTGTTAGTGTTTTTATGAGCTCTCATTTTTACTTATATTTGCACTGGGAGGTTGCATCCACTGGGTTAAAGTAACATCAATGGTTTCACTGTGCAGCTCGAAAGAAATCCATGTCTGTGTCTTTAAGTGATAAAAGGAGAAATGCAGAACAGGAGAAACCCAGGTCTCCATGTTGTAATGATGCAGAAGTATTTCAGGCAGGATGATGAAGACGAGATTAGATGTGAACTAAATGAATCAAGATTTCTTCGGAGGATTCATTCTGCCCTCTGTTCTCTGCTCCCACATCTAATCAGCTGTACTATTGCATGCCAAACACACATACACACACACACACACACACACACACACACACACACCTCAAAATGGGTTTCTTTCTGTTTTTCTCTGCTGGCTCGACGCCTTGTGTTGCCCTGCAGAGCTCTCACACTTTGATAAACCTGTTTCATCTTTTGTCAGTGTGCAGAAAATTAAAGGGACAGTTCACCTAAAAATCAAAAATACATGTTATCATACCTGTTTATCAATCTAAATTGTTTTGGTGTGAGATGCTGAGTTCAACTCTAGAGATGTTTGTCTTCTCTCGACTATAATGGAACTAAATGGCGCTCTGCTTGTGGTGCTGAAAGGGCCAAAAAAACACTGACTTTTGACATTAAACAAGCCTGATACTATGCATAAATCTAAAAAGTTGAATCCCAATTGCATTAACAAAACCAAAAGGTAGTCCACATAAACAATCTGGAGTCTCCCAAGCTAAGCCAACTGACGAAGCCTACAGCTCACTATATGAGCTCATCCCTAGTCTTCAGGCAGCTACTGATGGGGTGACTTATTCACTGGACACCAGTGGGTCCAGAAAGTCTCTGCTATGCAGTTACCCCCACAGAGCCACTGCCACTTTAAGAGATCAAGCTGCAACAACCTCACTGCTAAGAGATTGTTACCAAACCTAATGGGAGAAAACTCCAGTTACCTAACAGACACTTCAAACCAAAATGCACAATGTGACTAACATTTATCAAATTCAGACCAAAAACTCAAGCACAAAATGACAAAGGACTAGAACATTGCTCTCCCCCATAGGAAAAACAAAAGTCATGTGTGATACTCCCGAAAAGTGCATTACACAAGAAGGCAGAGTCTGCATTTCAACACTTTCTCACTCCGACCTCATCACATATCGACAATTGGTCATGGACTTTCAAAGTCGAGATATGACGTGAAAGGTACCCTGGGTGCGTTGGTTGTTGACGTTCTGTGACACCATGTCAACTTCTGCCTGTTACATGTCTTGTCTTCTTTCAAAATATACTTCAGTTGTACAGGAAAAAATATTCAAAATAAATGCACTACGTCGGTACAATACCGCAAATTAATGTTTTATTCTCCTTCAGTAACAAATGTACATTCTTTTTGCCAACACACAGGTAGTGGGGTTTAGGTAAAAGAACAGGGTTTGGCTCTACAATCTTAGGGGAAGTGAACACTGGTCTCCAGGTGAAAGTTGGTGGCTGTTTGACCCATCCACCACCACTCCTGCACACCTACTTGTACTTCTGCTGCCTTAACTTTTGTTTTTGTCTCACTGCATCCCCCCCCAATGCTGTCTGGTTCCTGTACAGCAGGGTCGGTCTTTTTTCCACTGTTATAATCATTAAAAAGCAAACACAGCATGTGTATAGATTCAGTAGGCTCTATCTTCAGTAGATAGCTGGCTAACATTTCAGGGTTTGATTTTGGTTTTGGAACAGGGAAAAAACATACATCTTTTTCCAACCTCTCCAGGTAACAAGTATCATTAATACATGACGTGCCCCAGGCACAACATTTAGCTCCAAATCCACAAAACCAGCCTGAAAATGAAGGAAATCTGAAACGACTGCATTAGAGTCAATGGAGCACAGCTGTGTTGTTGTCGGACCCTGGTCTGAGCCGGCCTGATGCTACGTGATGATTGGCTGGTCTGCGTTTGGGGGCGGGACTCAGCAAGGGGTCAATACATGAACACGTGCACAGTGTAATACAACACAAAAAGCCCTGCATAATCATTATTAAGCATATCATATGCATGTTTTCCATTTTAGGAGCCATACACATGCTGGGTCTTTAACCGCCTGGAAAATGCAAGGTCGAGCACTGGGCGCTACTTTTGTGCCTTTTTTGAGCTAGCTTTCAAGAGCGCGGCAGTAAGTTGCATCTGAGGTTGCTAAGCAAGTACTGTATCATAGCCTATTTACCAGAAATAGAGAGGAGGATATCTGCGGGCTGTGATTGGTGGTTCCTCGTTACAATACATGCAGTGTGTGCTGCTGTGTTCCAAAAGTTTAACTTGGTTTATCTCAGGGCGCAGCCAATACACCCTGAAAAATAGGCGCTCAGGAATGCATGTGCACCACAACGGCTTCGCTCTGGCATTTGAGCACACCTGCTGTGCGTACTCACTGAAAACAATGAATTTGAGCATGCAAAAAACACGGCATGTGTACATGGCACCTTAAACTTCTAGTCTTAAGACTCATCCAACACTGACTCAAGTGACATCACTTGAGGCATCAGACTTCACACAGCTCCATCTGGAGACACAAAAGGATTTACACAACTTTGTTCACATGTAAAGTAGTACTCTCAAGGATCTGTAAACACATTGTGATGTGTAAAATTGGTAAAGTTCCCCTTTAAGTTTTATATTAGTTAGTACATTAACTGTATCATTGTTTTTATTTGAGAAGGACATAAGTCTTAATAATATCTTATTAGCAGCCTATTTTTGTTACTATATGAAGCGCCCATCAGCTCTCACAGTAGTCGTCATCTCCTACAAACGCTGTCCGTCATTTTGAGGGTCGTTTCCCCTTTAAAAATTTGGGAACGTCGCTGCTGCTGTGTCCAGAGCTGTGAGGAGGGTAGGATGGGAGGAGGAGAGTAGGGCGAGATAGCTGACATATATGCACAGGCAGGAGAAACCCCGCAGCGCGCACTCACACACGGGTTCACCATGTAGAGGCGGAATGACACACACGCGGACTCCTATTCATCCTCAAACTTAACACCAGCATGCATCCTGCGCTGCTCTGACTGGAAACACCGGCTGACGTCATTCGGATTTCTCTGCAGAGACAAAAATAAAAACAGGTAAGCACGTTGACACCCAGTTTTAGTCTCCTGACGCGGAGGAGGTGAGGGATCCTCTTTCCTCCCAACATCAATAATTCATGTGCGATCCTGTGTCGAGGTCTTTTTGCAGGGATGAACTTTGGTCTCGGCAGGATCACGCTGACACTTATGATGTTGTGTTTCATACATAGATCAAAAGAGTGATTTCCAGCAGTGTGCATGTCATGCAGCAGATCAGACTGCTGTAAACAAACAGCAGACATGCGGCTGCCTTTCAGCACCAAGGACAGAGCACCGGAGGCTGCTGCGTAGTTTGAAACAGAAGCTTCTTCCAATGACACAACACACAGCTGTTTCATCTGTGCATTTAACATGGACTCAGTTTATCAACCCAGTGCATCACAGCTTCAGAGCAGAAATCTCCATTAGGATGAGCTGTGAGATTGATTGTGCACCAGTTTGCTGTTCTCACAGACACCACAGGGTATGTTCCGACTGAAGTCAGACAGAGATACGTGTTAACTGACAGTGTACACAGCTGTCTATCAACAGAGGCATCAAATACTAAAGCACAGAAAGTACTCATTATGCAGAATGGCCCATTATTTTATTGGATTATAATCACTGATGCATTAATGTTTTCATCACCTTAATGTTGCAGCTGGTAAAGGTGGAGCTCATTTTACTTTCTTTATGTACTGCTGGGTAGTTTTATCCATAATAATGGTCTATATCATAATTTATAGTTGATTATAATCATTATAATTTAAGAGGGTTGTTTATTCATGAAGCGTAAAGTGAGAAACAGGGACTCAAATTATAAAATGGACTCAGTGCCGATTTGAAACTGTGTTGCTCTCTGCTGAGTTTTTAAAAAAAATGACTCGTTTTTCAACGTGAAATAACTGAGGATTATAATTTAAAATATAATGTATTTAATTATTAATTCATTTATTTCCTTTGGCGTAGTTGATATTCTGGGTTATCCTTTGGTTGATATAGGACAGGCAAAAATAAGCCTGTGGTTTCACCCTATTCCTTTTTTTGGTTATTGACTGTGAGAAAATCTGTGTGAAATAACCAAAATGAAAAATTATTGATTAATTAATTTATTCATTATATTTTCTATTGATAATCTGAAAGGTAACTGAAGCAGACAAGTAAAAAATACAGTATTTACCTCTGAGATTTAAAGGAGTACAAGTAGCAGAAAATGGAAATACTCAAACACAAGTGCTTTAAAATTGTACCTAAGTACAGTACTTGAGTAAATGTACTTAGTTACATTCTACCACAGTAAACATAAACATATTTATACTTTTTTCAGACTCTAGTCTTCATTTTTCAGCGAGTAAGACATGTGTTTTGAGTGTAAATAAGGTGCTAGAGTGCATAAAACTGTACTAATTTTCTGGAGGAGGATCCCCCCAGATGTCAAGCCCTCAACAACCTGAAATCTTATATTCACCCCTGCCCAATGTCACAGATTTGCCCCAAAGAGCTTCACGATACCTGTACAGCTTATTACACTTTCCTTAGATGCTCAAAAAAATAGAAAGAATACCGAAGAGGGGATAACTTTCCAGAAAACTGACCGACCAGAATGGCAAACTTCGAATGTGGAAAACCAGGATGACAATTTTATGTAGATCAGTGCAAACATATATGAAGACTATGGATCTGAGGACGTCCAGCAACTCCCAGGTGCCACCAAACAGACAAAAAGCTATAAAGTTCAGCTGCTGTACAGAGGTGCTCCAGGTCTGTGCCCCAGCAGGGTGTCTGCCTTCTTTATATTGACAGAAGTAGCTGCTCTTCCTCTCTCCTCCTGTAAACAGGCCAATGTTATCAGGCAGAGAAAAGATCAAATAGACAAAAGTGATTTAAAAAACATATTTCCTCAATTACCTCTAACCATTCAGATAGTTTTGGTTTCATTTATCCATCCGTGACTGACATTTCTCAGTACACTCAGTACACTGAAGATGAAAGGACTCTAGGCTCAAAGAAGTGGAGAATTAAATTAAAAGATTCAGCAGTAAAATTTCTTCTGAGAAACAATGTCCCAGTTACTGTGGACAGTCCACAGACCACACAGTCAGCAGTCTTTATTCACAGTATTTAAAATAACTGGATGAAGGTCAGAGTCAAAAATGTCAGAAGTGGTGGTGACGAAATCTGCCTGGAGTTAGTCTCCATTGATTTATGTGAATAAATTTGAGTAAGAAACCAAAAGCACTTCTAAGGGGTTGGAGCAGTGGCTCCCAACTGATGAGTCACAGTCCAAAAGTCCAAAAAACGACTCGCAAACATGTCAAGTTTGTAGAAACACACTTTATTTTTAAGCACAGTGAATTTCTGGCACAGAGCTTTTATTTTGAAGTGTTGTTTCCCACTGCAGATTGAGTGACTAATGGACAGCTAAACTAGCTCGACAGCATGGCCAAACCTGTGTATGATACTTAACATATTAAATCATGTGGACCTTGAACCAATGACTAAGGAGAAATTTGGACCCCATGGCTGGACCAGTTGGGAACCAGTGAGTTGGAGACAGTGGTGTTCCTGGCTTACTTTGATTAGAGTAAACTTGAACATCAGCTTTGAATTTCAGTTAGAACCAGTTTTTTACGACCTTATCTATCGAAACTAAGACTATCTGTGTGACTAATAACAGAAGTGAGACAATAACAATGTGATGTGGCTGGACCCACCCTTTCAATTCTTAAACCTAGACCATGACCTGGACCTTAGATTCTCTAAGTAAAGTCTATCGGCAGGCTCAATTTTCCACTCTTTCATCTGCAAACAAGAGGCTAAAGTTGAGCTGAAATGCCTTTTATTTTGTTCTGGTGCTTCATTTTCTTTATGCTTAAACCTGTATGATTTTTGTCTGTTGAATTCCTGTCCTTTTATTCTACTGCTGCACTCATTTTGCATTAAATCTGCATAAATCTACCTTAATCCACTGACTGATAGATGGACTGACACTGTTTTACAGGAGCAGAAAATGGCAGCCGCAGACATCTTCTACTTCACTTTGTGGATCGCCACAGTCCTCACCACCGGACTCGGATGCCCTGAGCTCTGCACCTGCTCAGATAAATATGGCCGCCATTTTGCTGAATGCTCCTACAAAGACTTGGTCGCAGTCCCAGATGGTTTGCCTCTTAATGTTACAACTGTGAGTCTCACCGCCAACAAGATCAGTGTGATATCATTGGGGAGCTTCGACAACGTCACCAGGGTGACGTCGCTGTGGATGGCCCACAATGAGATCGTATCTATTGAACCGGGGACCCTCACGCCTTTAGGTCATCTGCGTAACTTTGACATCAGCCACAACAGACTTGTAGACTTTCCCTGGGAGGATCTGCAGAATCTCACGAGCCTGCTGCTGTTGAAGATGAACCACAATGAGATGGTGCACCTGCCGAGTGATGCCTTTGACAACCTCAAAGACCTGAGGTCCCTCCGACTCAACAATAACAAATTCACAACCATCGCTGAAGGGACGTTTGATGGTTTGGTGTCGTTGTCCCACTTGCAGATTTATAAAAACCCTTTTGCATGCACCTGCTCCCTCGACTGGCTCAGAGACTGGATTTCAAAAACCACCATCACAGTCCCGGAGCAGAATTTGATCATTTGTGCAACGCCACAGAAGCTCAGAGGGGAAATTATCGGAAAATTGCCTGAGTCAAAGTGCACAGGCGCAAGTGTGACAATACAAGCCGAGCCAAATACTCACAACACGACTTTCTTCGAGGGCAGTACGCTGGTGTTGACTTGTGTATTCACAGGAAACCCAAAGCCTCTGGTGTTGTGGGACATTCGCAGCAAAAGCCAGAAGCTAGAGCTGGCATTGTCCTTCACTGAGGATGACTCGGCAGAATCAAATGAAGACTCGTTACTGTCCTATAATCCAGTCAAAGTCTTTAATAATGGGACTCTCATAATTTCATACCTCAGGAAGGAAGACGGCGGTAACTACAGCTGCTCGGCCACAAATGAGTTTGGAAGAGCCGAGGATTCAGTGTCAGTGGAAGTGGTGGCGTTACCAAAGCCAACACTCAAAAAACGAATCACCACAACACCTGCCTTTGTTAAAATGCACCCATCTGTACACCAAACAACAGACAAAACATCTGTTTTTGATTCTGTGCGTCTCCCTGATTTAAAGAGAAAAGACATCATGAACACTGCACCCAGTTTTCCGCCCACTGCAGAGATCAAGCCCTCCGAGAAGGCAGCAACATATCCATCACGTGCTAGTAAATGCGGCTTGACAGCTAACACGAGATACATTTCCAGCCACTTCTTTAACGGGAGCATGGATGATATCAAGCAGTACACATTTGACTTTGGCGTCATCGCATTAGGGGTGTCAGAAACAGAGGTAACAGTGCGACTCAACCCTCTTCTCATACCCAGAGACCACAGCGCCAAACGGGGTGCCAACGCCGCTGCCACCACATCTGAGAGCCTCCACGCTGACAGTGAAGAACACGATGACCTGGCTGACTCCTCCGAAAAAGTCATCTCAAATGGCTTGTACCTGTGCGTCACTGCCGACCGCAAACACTCAGCTGTGCAGTGGTCGCGGATCAAAGAGGGCGTCAACACGTATCTGTTCAGCGGTTTACGCCCCGGCACCAACTACTCCCTGTGTCTGACCTACAGAGGGGAGGACTGTGAGGTTCAGGTGCTGTTCACAACGAAGAGGAGGACGCCTAACCTGCTCATCATCATTTCCGTCAGCATCTGCCTCCTTACCGTGTCCACTGTACCCCTCCTGGGTGCGACGTGCTTCCACTTGGTGTACAAATACCGCAGCAAGACCTACAAGCTCATCCTGAAGGCCAAAGACCAGTACCACATGGAGAGGAACCTCACCGCCAACTTTAACATCCGTGCACCTCACACCGAGTCCCAGAGGAAGATTAACGGCAGCCAGCTGGACGAGGAGGAGGGGGAGACGGAGAGTGGGGACGGTGAGAGAGAAGCAGATACAGAAGAAAGTGTAATGACTGAATCCTTTTCTTTGTCTCAGTGCAGGAATTTAGACAACTGTGAGGTCGGCTCTGAGTACAGTGACAGGTTACCTTTGGGGGCTGAGGCAGTGAATATTACAAGCAACTACAAATAACAAAAAGCAGTTTACATTTGCATGTGGTCAAAGGATAAAACAGGATTTTGTTTCAGTTTGTGCCAATGGTTTAGGCTTCCTTTAGTTGTGCAAAGGCAGCCCTGAAATATTGCTTTATTCCACAGAGATCTGACAAGACATAAAATACATTTATTTACAGAGCTGAATCGTTCAGTCACTAGACAGGCTACATGCTGCCAGGCTGTGATTGTCAGAGGATGTTTTCCAGACAAACATTTTAGGGAAATCTGAACTAGGCCTGGAAATGAAAACCTTGTTAGTTTTTTGTGACTGGAAATATCACAGCTTGTTTTCCTCCTTTCAAAATAGGCAATTTTCTGTGATGCATTCATGTACACTTTTGAAAAATGAGCTCCATAAACAACGTTAGAGCAAAAATACAACCAGCGTGTGTTCTAGAGAGAGAAACTGGGTGCTCAACCTCAAAATTTTAAATCATTTATGAAGGTAGAGAAAGGCAGCGCTCCATCAGAGCAGTCAGTGTCTGTCCAGCCTCATATTTTTATTAAGATTGAGATTATACTTTTAATAAGAATTTATTAAGAAGTCTGCGCCAGAGGCCTTCCTCAGAGCATGAGTAGTGTTTAAGATAATAGTTTGGTATTAAGGGAAATGCATTTATTTGCTTATCTTGCAGAGAGTTAGATGAGAATATCAAACCCACTCTCATGTATCTCCATAGATGTATAAAGAGAAGTGGAGGCGGGCCCCCATAAATTGCTATGAAAATTGCTCAGTGGTGCATGAAGCCAAAAAACTTTGACTTCACTGGTACCCATATCGTCTGTGTCAGTGGGCTCATATCCTTCTGAGACCCGAACTTTTGTTTGGTATGCATTTTTAATTTCTCCTAGCTATTTTGGATCAGTAGGACCTGATAAGTATGAAAAACTTAACATTGTCAGTGATAATTAAGTCCCAGTGTCCTCAAACGAGACAACAATGAAGTCCCAGTGTCCTCAAATAAGATGATAGTCCCAATGTCTTCAAATGGTTATTTCCTAATTAACAGTTTCGTAGGCTAAAATTAGTCAAATTTGTCGCCATATCAAATAACAAACATTATTAATCATAAATAAACAAGTTTCAACCATAAAATTTGATCAGGTTTTGGACCTTGTCCACTCTTGTGTCGTGATTGGCTGCAGACTGACTTGGCAGAGATGGCTGCCATCTTGTTTTTACATGGATTAGTGTATTGTGCTCTTACTACCACTAGTTGGCACAAAAAATTTCCACAAACTAGGACAACAGGTCTTATTTAAGTAGAATGAAGTATTAGTTCAAGTAAACCCAAAATGTGATGTCCTCATATGAGGACACAGGGTCTCAGGAGGATAGAGCAAGCGCACTACAGACTTCGCCAGCCAAGCAGCTAGCTAATAGTTTAGCACTCCGCTAACTTGGATGTAGATGAAATGATGTAATTGTACAGCACTTCTCAACTCTTTAGATATTATCTGACCAAACTGATCAAACCCAACAGTGAAATGGATCATTTTGACAGTCTCTGATGCTCAGAAACATTTATCCATTGATTTACAGACATCACTTTCACATTGTAAGTCTATTGGAAAATGTTTTTTGGGCCCAATGGCATCACGACAGACCTGGATGTTGTAGTTACACAGTTTGGCCACTACACCAAATTGGCTTCAAAGTCCAGCACCCTTCCCGGGGGCCTGTAGCTGTCCAGTAGATATGCCGCTGCAGCAAGGAGACGGTTAGCTTAGCATAGCACAAAGACTGGAAACAGGGGTAAACAGCTGGCTCACTAACAGGTTTAGTTGGCTTGCCAAAAAACACAGTAAGTGCCACTTTCTCCACGGCGGCACAGTTGTCTTTTTTTAAATAGAAAATGCAAAGAACTTTTAAAAGTGCATCTTGATCCAAAAAAAACAGTCCATCGCTGGAATAAATGTTGGCATTGTACGTTTCTGAAAAATCACAGATATATTACACATGTATGTTTCATATGTAGCGGATATGTTAAAACTAAAATTTGGTTAAGGTGTGGTTAGGCTACTTGGTTAGATTTCGGAACAGATCATGTTTTGGCTTAAAATAGATGTTTTGGCTACAAACATGGCTGAAAATGTCCTAACCTCCTGTTAAATGTTGTTGGTCTTGAATGTGTACAGTGGTCTGCTGCTGTCCTGTGCTCAGCAGGTGTCAGGCCATCCACCACCCCGTCCTCCTGAGAGACTCAACTCATGTACATGTAATCTGAACTACATTATACTTATCAAACGTACAAATATAACTTATCTGTGTTTTGCAGGAATGTAAACATTTTATTCTGATGACTGGGCTGAGAACACACATAGTGATAGACAATCATGGGATGCATGAAACAGATATCTTCACTGTATTTTTTTTTAAATATGTTGTTCAACACCTTTTCTTTTTACATTAAGAAATACAGTAAAAAAAAATACTGGATCTGGCCACATTCTTTGGTCCAGAACTCACAAAATTTCAATAAAATCTGGTGAGAAATTTCTCACGTGAATGATATAAACATTGTAAAAAGGAGAAATATAACCTCTGCGGCAGGGTTATAAACATGAAGTCTTATTTGTTCATTTGTGCCTTTAGTGTAATTTGTAACAGTGAGATATTTCATATATTTTACAGCTATAAAATTTTGTACCAACATTAGTTTGTTTGGCTGGCATCAATGAATTGTCAAAATGTTCTTAGAGACAAAAATTAAACCATGAAATTAACAATAAATTCTTTAAATTTAAAATATTTATTAAATTATTTTTTTCAAACAAAGTTTCTGCCAGAAAATAATCTTGATTTTTGCCTCTGTCTATTTTTAAAAGCATCATTGTTAAAAACTTGCTCTCAGTAAACAGCAAATGAGTGAAAAGAAGAGCACACAATAATTTTCTCCTGATTTCTGCAAACTAGTATCGAGATGATGACGATCAAGGTTTGACACAAAAAAAGCGAGTGTTAAATTAAATGAATCAAAGCTTGTGTCACGTGTAACATGCATTGCAAAATTACTAGGAAAAATGTTAACTAGGCAGTAGGCAGTAGTGAATGGGCTAACTAACTACAAGATAACAATATTCTGCTTTAACAGTGAACCTGTGCTGTCGTATTAGGGGTGCAGTAGCTTTAAAATACAGATACTTAACGGGAGTTTAAATGTTTAGAAAAACTGTGTTGTTTCAAAAGCAAAAACGTAATGTCACACAGCTATGAGCTCTTTGTCCAGTTACTCTGTGAACATTTAAATTACAATAACTGTTTTCATGTTAAATAAAAACTGGGTGTTTTCAATAAGCTCTCTGTCATGCTGGTAAAATGTGGACACGTTAGTTCAATATCCACAGAATCTACTGCAGACTGTGTATAACAGCACAAGCACTTCAGAGCGTGTGTGTGAAGTTACTGCCTCGTTGTATCTGGGTCTCGTGTCCATCCTGTCGTGTTTCCCAGAGTACTGTGTTAGAGGACCTGCATGCTGCCTGTTATTGTGAGTCACAATATGCTGTGTCTGGTGTAAATATTCTGGATTCAAGAGTAAATCTGAGTCTATGTTTTTTCTGTTTTATACCCCTGTAATAAAGGAAGTAGTAGGGCTTTACCAAAGTGTTTAAATATCCTCACTAACTCTCCTCATCCTATGTGCCTCAATAAAGTTTTGACAAAGGGATGCTGACTTGTTGCTCGTCTGTTCATCTCTGTTTTTGTCTCGACAGCTTTACATTCAAAATAATACGTTTTTAATGATGTGGAAAAGTTGTCCTTACTTGAATATATTAGTTTATTACAACACATATCTGACATCAGAGCAGCAGTATATGCAGACACAGATGTACCAACAATTTAAAGCAACATTGCATTTACTTAGCTTTAAACAGTATGTTGTGAAAGTAAGGTACAATGTCACACGTCATACAGAATCACATGATCACGGCACTCAAGTAGGCAAAAGGACTTAAAGAAAAACCTTTCAGGTGGTTCAATCAATCCATTTTTTTATTGGATGTGATAATAAATCAAGTGAAAGTGAATCATGGGACACAAACACACTTCACACTGTTCAAAAATAGAGTAAAACATTTTCATGCATTCATACATTTTATCTTATTATCATATTAAACATCAACCCTGTGCTTTGAAATGTTAGAAATGCAGATGTACATACACTTAATAATGTGTCTGTGTAAAAATATGCAATATGATTACACTCAGTATCTCATCATTATTTAAGAAGCTGAAATATAAACCTTAGCACAAACAAAGTTAAAACAAATAATATTAAAATATAATTATTACATTTTTTGGGAGATTGTGTAAGTTGGTTATAAATTTTCTCACCTGACTCAGAACAAAGTGTACGGCATGCTGAACTGAGAACACACCGAGAACCTGCACTTGTCGACATAACTGCATAAAGCTGATGCAAAATTGGACCATGAACTCTTACTGACTCCCTAACCCGGTTCTGCTGCTGCCATTGATCAGCACTGCCACTGAACATTGTGCATGTCAATATATAATTACTAAATGGCCTCGACAGTGCTGCACCAGCAGAGCACAATGAAAGTTTAATTTTATATAGAGTGAGGTTGTTGGAACAAAGATCTCATAACAGTAGACACATTTTGTTTAGAGGCAATGCTTGTTTTTAGAATATTGCCCCCGTTAGTGTGTAGGTCTTTTATTTACATGTGAAATATTGTTCTTGGGGCCCTTGAGGGTCAGAGGTAGCAGCCCAGCCACCAGAAGAAAATGTTAGTATTTTACTTTTCTGCAGACCACGAATACATTACATTTCCAGCGGCGTTTTAGGCACGAAAAGTGACAGTTTTTCACCAAGACATCACTGCTTTTCCAGCCAGAATAGTGGTATTTTGGGTCATAATGTTTTCTTAACCATAACCAAGTGTTCTTTGGGCCTAAATCTAACCAGACATTAACCACAGTGCTGCTGAAGTTTCATACCAGTCTCTCACTCTAAAATCATCGATATCTGGCGCTTGGGCAGTGATTTGTGATGTTAGACAGTGACAAAAAAAGCCATCCTTTAACTCTGGCATGATACGCAGCCAGTCGCTGTTAGTTAATTAGTTAGCTTAACAGCTCTCGGTGGCATCAGGGAAAAACTCAACGGGACAAGAGCAAAAGTTAAGGCAGCAGAAGTCGGGTATGAGTGGTGTCGGATGGGTCCAACAAACACCAGCTTTCAACCAGGAGAGAAGTGTTCGCGTCCCATAAGATTAGAAAGCCAAACCCTGTTCTTTTTTTCCAAAACCCAACATGTTTCTGTTGCCTAAACCCAACGATGTGCGTTTGTTGTTGAAGGAAAAAAAACATCAATTCTGGGTGTTCTACTGACGTAGTGCGTTTATTTTGAAAGAGACTGTATATAAACTGTAAATTTCCTGTGAAAACTGAAGCATATTTTGAAATCAGACAATGCACAGGCAGAACTTGACACGGTATCCCACGAGGTCGGAGTGAGAATGTGTTGAAATTTTCAACATATCCGCTACATAATGATGTGCAAATGTTCATGGTTTACAGAAACGTACAATGCCTGTATTTTTTCTGACAATTGGGTTGGGAGTAGAGGACTTCACGGGTCTGAAATGATGAAACCAAACCTGAAAAGACCCAAGAAATTTGTTCTGACAGCCAATTGGGCCTAATAACTTTTAAAACTATATATACCTGACACGTTTTAGCCCAGGATATTACAGACCCAACCCACTGCATATCCGATAGAAGAGAGACCCAAGACTTTGGTCTATTTTATGGACCCAACATACCCTGAAATTAAAATTGCTACTAAAAGTCAGATACAACATGCTGTTCTTACCCATCTTAAGCCCTATTTGCACAGGACTAGTATTACTTGGGGAACCTTATGTCATTCAGAAATCCAACTCTGATCCTAAATCAGCCTGATCATCACTCAAGTTACACGCACAGTGCTTATTTGTTTTTCTTGTTAATCACATGCTTCTCAGATCCACTCAGTTATTACACATATGATAAACAGACCCCCACTCCTGTGATATTAGAATGGGACCTGAGTCAAACTGAACAGACCATGATAAAACATGAACCCTAACTCGTACGGGTTTCTGGAGTCCAGGTAGTCCCATGAAAACCTCTAGTCAGAGCCCAGAAGGCATCTAGCCCACCTGCCTTGTGGGTCTTTGCAGGGTTTATCCAAGCAATCTGTAATGAAGGACAAACACACCAGTATTAGATGTGTATTGGGATGTTACTGGAGCACATTTCAACCATAACATGTGTATCATAGGAACAACAAAGGTGCTGTTGGCTTTGAGTTTGTCACCATGTTCCTGAATTGACCTTCATTAGAGACTCTTTGGATAAACCCTGACTGACTTTATTGTTTTATTCTTGTGTCCTCATCTGGACCTTGTAAAAATCTAGCATCATCACAGTTTACTCCAAACAAGATCACATTGGACGTGTTCACACTCAAAATGAAATGGCAGGGCTGCACCAAAACCAGCGCTGATCACTGAGCCCAGCATCACAAGCTGTCCCTAACCTTAAACAGATGTTTCGGTTGCCTAACCCTGCCATTACCAAAGAATAAAAGAATAAAAATGTGATTGGTTGCAGGCCAAGTCTTTTTTATGTGAGAATAACTAGATACATGCTAAATACAGTTTTGTTTGGAGTAAACGGTCAACCACACCATACAGATTAAGGATCTTATTCAGTTTTATCTTGGTTTGTCGGGGTCTCAGTGGGCTCGACCGGCTCGTCAGCTGGCTTGTCAGCCTCCTTCTTGCTGCCTTTCTTAGAGCTGTGGCTAGGTGTGCCGTTCAGGATGCTCTCCGAGGTCTGCAGTGTCTGGAAGTGCTTCCTGGAGCCCAGCAGAGATGGGTTGTTGACCAGCGTGTACAATAGCAGCCAGCGGCAGCAAATCCTCCTCCTGCTGGTCGCCTTGTTTGGCCTGTTTTCCTGAATCCCTGAAAGCATGGAGGAGCAGGCTGTCAGGGCAGAATGAGACACCAAACTGAGGGATGAATGAATGTACTGCATGACGCTGTGTATGTACACTATGTTTTGATTTGGAAACCTCACTTCAGTCATAGTGATCTCTGTGTTTCAACAACTGAAAGAGTCCTTCAAGGAATTTTACGACCTCCTTGAATCCATAAAACCCTCTTCATGTTTCTACAGTAGCCCAAATTGCAGAACCACTGGCTCTAGATAGGACCATTCACATTTTCGTGTTTTCATGTTTTAATGTTTTCATATTTTCACATCGGCCACCGTATGTCACAGCCTCCCTGGATTTTTTGGTACAGACGAGTTCACATTTGATGTTTGGAGATAAATGTCTTGATGACTCTTGGATGGATTGCCATGACATTTGGTGCATGGTTTTTGTAAACTTTGGTGGACTTTTCAGCGAGTGCCATCATCAAGTCCAAATTTTTATTACTGTCTTTCTAATAGTTTCTTAACGAGCATTACAGCCTCACTGGTGCATTACAGTGGCCTTAGATTTCTGGCCCTGTTAATATTCAGTCCTGGAATTCAGTAGATTTTAAATGAAATCAACAAAGCACAGGTCAGATGTAAAGCTCTGCTGCATGTATGTAAGGATATGTATTTTATGTGTGTTTGTAGTTCAGAGTCTACCTTCCTCTGCGTCTCTTATTTTCTGCCCGGCTCTGCCGCCCTCGACCATCATGTCCAGCAGCAGCCCACAGAAAGCCTTCATCACCGGGTGTGACTGGCTGACCTCCACCTTCAGGGAGTGGGCGTAGTATCGGTAGGCTGGGTGGGGTCAAAGGTAAAGTGGGAATGAGAGCATGGCCATAAAATATCTTCAAGTCTCTCCCTTTATTTTCTTTAATAATGTAGCTTTTATGTCATATTTAATGAGTAATGTTGATGATGGTAATTAAGTTATTTAGGGCATAAGATTCTATTGTTGCCCATAGACTGTGATAAATTATACCTGGGTCGTAGGACTCTGCGGTGCGGTGCAGCAGACTGATGTCAATACGGCCGAGATGGACGATGTTGTACAAAGCTGTTATCACCATTCTCCATATTCCAACTATCAGTCCCACCACAGTGTTGATCAGGAAGAGCAGGTACGTCAGGAGGAACAGACTCTCTCTGGAAATCAACATAAAATATTTCAGAAAAAAATAACAAACAGCACACTATACAAACATTAATGAGCTTCACACACCTGTTGTCCAAGTCTCTTGTACCACCCTCTTTCTTGATGAAAGCAAATTTAGCAGTAACATGTTGTAGCACTGTAACCAGGATCAGTGTGACCCAGCCTGGCCTGAAACATCACAAAGATGGGAAAAATAATTTAAATTAAATGTAATCTCCATTATGATCACTAATGACACAATTTAAAAAGAGCTACTGTACACACTGACTCACCATGCTTTCCCCGCTATTTCAAAAACGACGAGATTACGGCCGTGAAACACAGGAATAATGATCAAAAACACCAGGAACAAGAAGCAGATGAAAAACACGATAGTCTGAATCGCCATTCCTGCCAACACAACACAGACACAGCTTATTTTTAACACATTCTTAAGAGGCATTATAATTTTTCTTCAAAGCTTTCTTTAATAAAACAATTCATTAAAACTCTGAATTATCAGTAGCATATGAATTTAGATTTGCATTAATTAAAAGATAAGGCTGGCATTCCTCTGCCTTTTTGGTGTATTTTGTCAACAAATCCCATGAAAAGACCAAAGTCTGTCTTCCTGACATTGAGTCAAAATGAATGCAGTGTTTGTGAACATGTCACCCAGTGCAACAGTGTGGCTCATTGATGTGTTTTAATAGTTTTTGGACAACAATAGAAGTGTGTGGCACATAAAACTAAGCTTTCATTCTTCAGTTTCATTTAGAAAGTATCCAGAAACTTTGATCTGACACTTGAAATTCCACTCAGGTGCCTCCCATTTCCCTTAATCATCTTTGACATGTTTCCACAGCTTGATTATAGTCCACCTGAGGACAATTTCAACTGATTGGACATGATTTGGAGAGGCACACACATCTGTCTTTATAAGGTCTCAGCAAAAGAGAAAGCTTTGATGCTGCTTTGTTTGTTACTTTGGGGTTTTGAGGGTAGATCGATGAGGGAAAAATGCTGAAAAAAAATGAAGGGGTCTGAATACTTCCTGAATGCAGTGCTCCACTTGCTAGCAGGATTGATTCATTGTTGGTGTTCCTCTCTTGTTGACAATAAGAAAAATATAGAAACTTGCCAGCATTTTCCTCTAAATCAAGTCAAAGTCAGTGGTGATTATTCATAGTATTAGAGCTTTACCCAGGCAGATGATCGCAGCTTGGTATCCTGTCAATCCCATCCAACAGACAATACCAGGCTTAGATGGACGGATGGTTTTCTGGCTGTTATAAATGTTGTAAATGTCTCCTTTATACAATCCTTTCAGGTTTGACCTGGAACAAATTATAACCAGTAAAACATGAGGTTTTGACAGGAATGCCTGGAAATCCAAAAGCCATCAAAAGCATAACAAACCAACAAAGAAGAGTCAACAGGGTTATAGAAAATGGTAGAAAATGTGAAGTGACTGAACACTTTGATGGACATGAAACTCTTGGAACAGATGGTTGAGACCAAACCAGAGCTAAAAGACTGGGGACATGCCTCCAAATGAATGCTAATGTTATTCTGTGTTCAGAGGATGTGTTAACTGAGGATGTGTTAACTGTTGAAGTGGCCAAGGTGAGGCACTGACTTATGCAGGAGTGGCATAAAGTTAACAGACCTACCAATCACAACACAACAGAGTGGCACCATACACATGTGATATAAAGCATCCTAGCTTAGAGTTTATAATCACCTATAACTAAGAACTGTGCTGTTTGTATCTACGTACTGAACACGGAGTCTGTTGTTTCTACAGTAGCCCAAAATGGACAAATCAAACACTGGTTCTAGATAGGGCCATTCACGTTTTCACGTTAGCCACTGTAGTTCTCCGACACGCTTTGAATATAGGAGAAGTTTTAGTTGGTTGCAATCTGCAACCTCACTGCTAGATGCCACTAAATCCTAAATACTAGGCATTTTCATCTTCAAATAGAAACTGTACCTTTTTAAAACGTAGGCTACACTAAAGAAAACAATGCACACTCAAATTACAGCCACCGTATAAAGTACCAAAAAAATTAAATTAAAAAAGCCTGCGTGGAAAAAAAAATTATTGATAAAATCGTGCACAACATCAAATTTCTACATCAAACTCTAAGCGCACGGTCACACATGTGTGAATGCAGGTGAGTGACCATCACCTGCAAGGCAATATTTGTGCTGAATGTCGGCAGTGCCTGATGTGACAGCCACAGAACGTTAGCTTGCTGGTAAATACCATGAAATATGATGTTATTAGTACATACATGGTGACAGTCAGTGTCTTCTCTACAAATACTTCTTTGCTATTGGTTGAGGCTGCAACTTTGCCGGTCAAAGTTTACCAAAGTTAAACTCCAGGTGATGTATGGATGTGACTTTGCTTTGCTAATAGAAGCAAATATTTTATTCGCCCCTTCGCTTGCACTTAGTGGGAGTGAACACATATTTGCCAGTGGTAGTTCACTCTTATGACAGGACACCGACCCTTATTCTGTCTAGGCCATACAATGTTAATGCTTATGCTGCCTCTCAGGCTTAAGACTGAATTGTACCCATAAACTTCAGTTCCGTTTACATGTCAAACAGTTCAAACAAAGGTTAAGCCCTCAACCAGGAAGATAGCCAGTTATAGTTTATGATAATACTGGACTTACCTGTGAAGTACCATGGACCTCATGAGCATGACGAGGCTGACCAAACAAGACAGGGTCATTGCACAGAGGTAGCACACTGACAAACAATGTGGTGGGAAAAATAACAAAGTTAGTCACCTTTCTTATAACGATACCCTCCAAGATTTTTGTTAAAAGCGTAACAGTCGCCCCACATACCTTCCAGCAACCAAGTATAGAAGGTCACGATCCTGACAACCTCCATTCTGTCATCTGACAAGATGATCCCAAAGCCCAGTAACAGGAAGGCGATGTTTTCATCAATACCAGCACGGACAATATGGAGAGTCGGGACCACCAGGACAACTAACAACAACGCTGTCTGAAAGGCAAACATATTCACATTCACATGATGATTTATGCTCCACAAAGGCAAAACTATAATTTATCAGATTTAAGAGGTGAAAGGTCATGACGACGGTCCATGGACGACTTACATGATATATTGCCACAAGGGCAACAAATGCTGATACAGCCAGTTTCAGTGGAAAACGAAACACTGAAAGACAAAACAGCACAGTCACAGTAGATTTTAGTCACAGCCATTTAGGACTTACCATCACTGCATCACATCAAATCTTTAGAGACTAACATGTTTAGATAAGCTGATGTCAGTTTTCCACTGAGTGTGACATTAATACAAAGTGGGTAATTTAAAAACATCTCTGCATCTCTCAATGCACACACCTTTTTCTGGAATATAAACATAACTCTTGGGCACCTCCAGGATTCTTTCTACCAGCGTTGGTTTATCTGTAGTTGATGAGCTGCAGTATAAACAGAGAACAAATTATGTTAACTGCAGACAGCATGCAGCTTATCACCGGAAGAAAATGTTGGCATTGTACATTTCTGAAAACCCAAAATATGTTACACTTGTGTATTCTATTAGTATCATATCAGTGTTTCTGAAGTGACATAAGATATAAGTTGACAGACTTTTTAGCTTCCAAATGTGGATGTTTTGTAGCAACCTGTCAGCATTTTTCCAGCAGCTTTAAAGGCTCCAATTGTTATTGTTTCATAACAAACCATTAGTGTTTTTCCAGCAGCTTATTAGCCTCCAGACTTGGGTGTTTTGTAACGACTCATCGATGTGTTTCCAGCAGCTTTTTAGGCTCCAAACTTGGGTAATTTGTAATGACCCATTAGTGTTTTTCCAGCAGCTTTTCAGCCTCCAAACGTGGGTGATTTTTAGTGACCCATCAGTGTGTTTCCAGGAGATTTTTAGGCTCCAAATGTGGGTGTTTTCTAACTACCCATCTGTGTTTTTCCAGCAGCTTTTAATGCTCCAGTTGTTGTTGTTGTTGTTGTTGTTTTTGTAGCAACCTATAAAGGTTTTGCCAGCGCCTTTTTAGCCTCCAAGCATGTGTGTTTTTGTAGCAACCTGTCTGTGTTTTTCCAGCAGCTTTTTAGACTCCAGACATTGGTGGGGGTTTTTTTAACAGAGACATCACTGCTTTTCCTGTCAGGATTATGCCCCCAAAACTTGGTATTTTAAGCCCAAACATGGTCTTTCCCTAACCATAACCAAGTGTTTTTTGTGCCTAAACCCAACAACACATTAACCACAGAATTGTTGAAGCATATCATATATGTTGAAACATATCCACTATAGAACAACGTAAAAATGTTATCCATCTGTGGTTTGCAGAAACGAACAATGCCAATATTTTTTCTGGTGATTTGGCTTGTAGTATGAATAATCATTTAAATTTTAAGCAAGATGACGTCTGTACCGTATTTTGCCATTTATCTTTTCAAATGTTTTTATCTATCTGCTTATTATTTTATTTGTCCTTTGTCCCTTTCTGCTTTTTCTTTGTTGATATTTCACATCTTAATTCAGCTCAATGTGTAATAATACTACTGTACATTTTATTTTCTATTCCAATGATGAAATGAATGTCAGGTTGTGGTTGTTGCTTTCTGTGTGGCATGTGGTCTAAATAAAGCTGGGAGGGACTAAAACATGTTTTCATCACTGTGTCTTTATTCACCTGGCAGCTTGGGACTTTTTCTTGAGAAGTAGCTTCACATAGTTGGTGTAGTAGCTGCTGTCAAGGTCCTGTAAGCAAAAAGAAATCTGTATTCACATCAAATCATGATCTATGATGAGTCACCACATGAGAGGATGGTAATTTCCTGAGCAATGTCTAATAGAAAACTTTGCCAGAGTGACTCTAAGTGGGGTTCAGCATCATTGCAAGGTGACAGATGTTATTCTCCATTATGTGTAATTTAGGGTCTTGATACTTTACACTCCTGTCAGCTTCAATTGATTGAAGACATAATGACATGAAAAGAGAACCACCCATCTCAATGGATGAGCAATAACAAGAATATATAAAAATACAAGAAAATCTGACATTAAGATAAAATAAGTGCTGGTTTTCCTGTTTATTTGTTCTCCTCTAAATCATTAGTGAAAACTTTCGACAGATTAAACCTGCTGTTAAAACAAAAACTCTGTTGTATTAATATATTTGGAAGGGATAAAAATATCACCTCCTTTGTCATAATCTGCTCAAGGACGCTGAGTTAAACCCACTCTGTTCCGTACAAGCTGCTTACAGTAATCATGGTTATGTTTTACATAGTTGAAATTCACGTTTCCTTCTTCAGATACACCAGAGATTAGTTTGCATGTTGCTACTCACACGTTTATCATAGAGGACAACTGGTACTTTTGTAGCCTATTGGCTGAATTTTTCTCACCTCTTCAGTCTTTGGTCCTTTAGCAAACAGCAAAATAAACTGGACACAGAGATATGCAAGGCAGGCCAACTGAGGCAGACTTGCAAGCAGAGCGTAGTACTTGTAGATCTGTGAGGAAGAAAATGGAAAAAAAGTTAATGTTTTAATGAATCAATTCACCAGAAATGTTCTTTTAACCATGTCTTGAGACAAGTGGTTTCATGTGCCTCAGTTGAAGTGAATGGAATTTTTATGTGCTAAAAAGTTAAATAACAATAATAATAACAAAGGTGATAATGTGATAAACTCAAGATCGCTGTGTCCTCATTATTTCATGGGAGCACCATGTATTTACATTCTGTTACCAATGCCAGCAGCATGACGAGGCACTGAATGTCTCATCGGCACTAAGCGCTACCTGCTGTTTTTTTCCGGTCACTGAGTTTAAAATATTCAGCTTTTTGTAAAACTCTGCAGCCGCTAATCACTGTCACTTTTTATCCAGCCATCCACTAACAGTGGGAGAGGAATGGGACAAATACCACTAAGACCAACAGTCACAGCAGGTGTGCTACACAACAACAATGACAACAACAACAGAGAAGAAATTTAAAATGAGCCCACACAGACCAGTGAATCTGTCCTCTCTCCCTATGTGTTTCCACCTTCCCTTCATCCAAAGTACTCTACCGTGTGCTGACATTTTTACTCTCACAGATATTCTGTATCATAGCAACCAAAGCATCTAGTAATTGCCCCCCTTTATTCTACATTTAACAGTGAACATGTATTTAGACAGGCATGTATTGTCTTGACACAAATAGAGACTAGACATTGGACAGCGTCAACATAGATATTACCCAGCTATCATCACTGCATATCTGTCAAAAATATCATAGAAAGTAAGAAATTATTCATTTAACTGAATCATTTTAATGGCATATTTTTATATCTTATAGCTTGTTTGTTTTAGAAAGCTACTGTCTATCTGAAAAAAATAAAAGAAAACCATGACAGAGATGGTTTTGCCTTTTTGAGGACATATGGTTTTTAAATTACGAATATTATTTTTTTTTTTAATCATTTATCTTTGAACACAGGTATACAGTATTTCCCAGGTGGTAAATCACTTGCAAAGGCTTGTGCTATGTCTCAAATCACATACTTCCCTCAGTACACTTCCATGTAGTATACTATGTGCACTATGTACTTACTGGCGTAGTACTTATAGGGTAGTGTTGTCTCAAACCAATGAGCAAATGAGCTGCAAATGGGCTAGTTAGCAAACTAGCATTCACGTTATCATTCGCTTTACCAAATCATTACAGACTGCTAAATTAACCCAACAAACATACCGCTGGCTTATACCCGACAACAGTATATTGGTGCTTAGTGCAAAAAACACATGTATTTTTACAATGCAGCGACGTTCACGGTCGCACAGTCCTCAGCCTCTATTTCCATTTCGAAAAGTGGTCCCTCCTCTTCCGCTACGTAGCCAACATGGCGACCATTGAGGGCGAGAAGTGTCCATAGTTCCAGTGCACTGCATTTTTCCATACTTCCCAGTATGAGCGCACTTATGCACTTAAAATATTAAGTGTAAGTACAGAAGTACGTGATGTGAAACTCAGCATTGCTCTTTCTACGGGCCCCTCCATCCCAGGAGCCCCAGTGCAATTGCACTGCTTGCATTGTCTATATTTACACCCCTGCCACTACATAGTAACATATAAATGTTACATATACATGGTTTGCAGAAACATTCAATGCAAATGTTTGTCATAAAAACTTTAATGTTGTGTTTACAGCTTACTCTGTTATCACCATTGGTCGCTACCAACAGCTGTGGTTAAGTTCAGACGATGGCACACACACCTGTCTGGTTATATAACTATATATTTCAATACTGTGACTGACAGTTACATATTACACATTATATATCATCCACCCCTCATATGGAGCATCAACATGTCGTTGGCGTCTCACCTCTGGAGTCTTTGGGCAGTCAAACTTCTGCCACACCAGGATCCCGAAGTGACTGAAGGAGAGGAGCCCCCCGAACACATAACCTGCTTTGTGCTGCAGAGTGCAACAGACCAACAGAGGATAATACAGGACAGGGTAGTAGAAGATGGCAATTATCTTCATGTACTCTGAAAAACAAGGGATAAAAGAAAAGAGCGTATCATCCTCTGATGTGTGACCTCCCACAGGAAAATCAATATGGACTGAGGAAAAAGAGGGAGCTGAAGTCCTGCCCTATTTCCCTGCCAGCATCTTCTTCTACCAGCCTTTGTAACATGACCTATTTTCTCAAAGGGTTTTCATCAAACTCTGATTTACATTTATTCAGATTCCCTACGCTTAAATTAAAGCAACTGTGTGAATTCTTATGTGCTCATCATTCATCTGTGATTACACAAAATGTTGATTAATTCTAATTATTCAAAATAAAACATTTGACTGGATATGTTTGTTTTTTATCACCTGTGCTCCTGTTAGCATCATGACTGTTATCTTACCACATAAAATCTCAACAGCATATCTAGCTGTAAAGATGCACCTCTAAATTGAAATATAAAAATGTCCACCTTTAATGTCCGCTGGAGTATCTTTGGAGAAAGGCAGAGGGTCTGGGGCAATCACCAGCATGGCCAGCTTGCTGAACACCAGCCCAAAAACCGCCATGACGATGCCCTTTTTCTGAGTCTGGTCCAGGAAGTTGGCTGGACTGTGAGATCATGAACAGGAACATTTTCATAACATGAGACAAACCTGCAGTCTAAAGTCTCTCATTTATATCTGGACCTCCCAAATTCACCTGAAGATACTGGAAGATCCTCTCGTAAATCCTTGGCAGAGCTTGTTTTTCCTGGTGAGAGCTGCCAGGATTAACATCATCACCAGCTACAGGGAGAGATGACACTCTGTTATACCTCATACAGCTGTCACTTCACTTACAGAGCAACTGTTCCACATCAGGGTTATGACGGTGTATGCTTGCACAATATGTGAACTGAATCATCGGCTAAATCATATCACTGTTTTCTCCCATGTCAGTCTCAGCTGCTGCCTGAAGATGTTGCTTGCATCATAACAAGGATAGACCTTATCATGGGGTTATAAGCTGTGGGGTCAAAAGTTAGTAAGCAGACCTTGGGTTAAATGTTACATTTTGTCAAATGATACTGATATTATCATAGCTGTAGATTTTGGGAGGGACACAGGGGACACATCCCCCTTATTATTCACAACATGTGCATTTGTCACACCTACTATAAACATTAAAACAGCAGAGGGGGTTTACTTTGACAAAATTAAAGACATTTACACCCTAAAATGGCAGCACGGTGGAGCAGTGGTTAGGATTGTTGCCTCACAGTAAGAGGGTTTTTGGTTCGAACTCAGGATGGGGGGTTCAAAGCCCTCTGTATGGAGTTTGCATGTTCTCCCCATGTCAGCGCGGGTTTTCTCCGGGTACTCCGGCTTCTTCCCACAGTCCAAAGACATGCAGGTTAACTGGTGACTAAATTGTCCAGGGTGTACCTCTCACCCAGTGTCAGCTGGGACAGGCTCCAACCCCCCACGACCCCCAAAGAGGATAAGCAGTTACAGAAAATGTATGAATGAATGAATGAATGAATGAATGAATGAATGAATGAATGACACCACAAATGATGCAAAAAAAGCACAAATGGGGGCATAGAAATCCTCCTGAATTAAGTACAATTAAGTGTTTGATGCTCAAAATTTTCTGATGAAGGACTGCCAAATCCCTCGTTTCATATGTGTCCCCCCAGTGTTGACAAAATCTACGCCCTTACTCATGGCGTTAGGTGGAAAATTTGACTTGAAAATGTTGTCATGGCACTTTTTATGTGTATAGCACAATGAATATATTTATCTCTATTTAAACGAGGATGTTACAGTAAAACATGCTTAGCTGAAATACATGATAGCCTCTTTCTTGTGCTGTTAAAATAATAAATGTAACCACTATGACATCACCCATTGGTTTGCGAATTTTCATTTTGAAGCCTCAGGTTTGGTATTTTGTTTCTGAGCGGTTTTTGGAGCCATAAGTGACCAAATTTGGAGGAGAGAGTGGAGCTGTGGAGGAGTGTGGGGTGGATCTGACTCAGAAACTACGGTGACACATCGCAGAGAGCCTGTCACTCAAAGCACTCCTCCACCAACTTAATTGTGTGTGATTTAAAGCTTTCATACATTTTAAACAGATGAGTTACTTAAAAATTCACACCGCATACACTTGTCATGAAGGAGGAAACTAGCTTTAGAGACCAGGCTGTAAACATGTTTATTTCTGCTGTAAAGTTGGGAATTTTAACATGACTCAATTTTAGAGCCAGCCTCAAGTGGCCATTACAGGAACTGCAGTTTCTGGCACTACCGCATTGGCTTCTTTTTCAGCCTGGGAGGTTACTGCTTGGTCTTAAATTATTGCAGCCAAATTTTGTCTGGCAAATCATGAGTTGACTGGCCAGTGATCTGCCACCCCATGGCTTTAGAAAAATGCCCATGTGTCATCATCACTACCAGAGAGTCATACTGTACTGCACCTCCTTTTATTTTTACATTAATGCTGCTCATAGCATTTGCCAACTTCAGTATCTCATTAAAAGTATACAACTTTATGAAAAACAAAGTAAAGCAGCTCTGTAGATGGAATTGGAAGTCAGGATAAAGCATACGTCCATCATGAGAAAACACATAAAGAACCTCATTTTGCAGAGTCTTCAGACCACATCTTGTTATTTCTGATCAGCTGCGGTGACCCAGCTGTCACAGTATATTCTACATTATTTACTGAACAGGGAAATTGGTTCACTCTGGGGGTACAGCATGGAGAGTTTTTGTTCAGTTTAACAATGGCAAACATCATTAAACTGAACGTCAGCCTGAAGCAAAGACAGACGAAAGAGTCAGAGGAAAAAGCACCAAAGAATCTGATGGAAGATACAAAAACTTCAGAACAAAACCTACACTCACTGTATTCCACTCACATTTTATTTAGGAGGAGAGCAGATAGATAGGAGGAGAGTCTGTCAGTCGGGCATCAGCTTTGGTCACTGTTTACTTCCTGTCAGCTGCTACTATTAACAAACAGAAATACAAAGGGACCCATGGAGAGTGTTTGCGTGCTATTTGATCACCTAGTAGTTCCCTGCAAAGTGAATTTTATAGGGTATTCAGCCATGGGCATTATTGCTATGTGGCAATATTGGATTTTTATACATATTTTGCATCACTGTGATAAAGCACCTTGAGTTGCCCGACTGAATTAGGCGAAAATGAACGTTCCTGTCTGGTCATGTAACTGTATATTTTAACATCATGATTAAAATTTACATATTACACATCACATCCACCCTTGATTTGTTACATGATTGCAAAATGTTGTGTCTCACCTCTGGAGCCTTTGAGCAGCCAAACACTGAACAATAAAATGTACAGTTCCTTTGTTGAGCATACTTACAGATATCGACAGCATGCATATGTGGAAGAGCTTGTCGTCCACTGTGGGGTCACATGGTAAAATAACTCTGTGACAAAAAGGCAAAACACATTCAAATAAACAAAGTGGAATACTTGGCAAGAGTTTGAACAAAAAAGCAAATATTTGTAAAACAATAGAGAAATATTTTAAAATTTGCAAAACAAACACAGCTACTGCAAATATTTTGCCACAGTTTTTTGATTTTCACAACTATGATTGGTGTTGGATAAGTGATACATATGATTTGATTATTTCAAGATATTTTAAGATGCTCAAGTTGAATTTAAAATCAATTGTTTCCCAGTAGCAGAACTGATTTCACCTCTGTAATGTTCAAATTAAGTACAATAAAATCAACACCTTTGCCACAAAGTCATAAATTCCCATACTGCACATCTACAAAAGAATCACTACTTTACAATATCAATAATTAAAGAGGAATGAAAATCTGATTTTTCTTTCCAAACAGACCCTTTTGACACCTTTGACACACAAAATGATCTGCATAAGGTTTTTCTACTCACTCTTTGGGTGGTTTGGTTGGCTCTGCATTGTTCGAGTACCAGTCTGAATAATCATAGTAGGAATATTCAAAAGGCTCAAAGTCAACTTTGCTCTGATTCATCGCAGCTGATCAGTTGAGTCAAACGGGATGAAGCAGGATGATTAAAGATCCAGAGGACTCACGGATCCTCTTCCTCTGGTCGAGTAACCTCGCTCAGTGACCTGCTGGTGTAGTGACGTGTCAGGACAGTTTGGCCCAAACACCCAGACACATTCCAGTATTACCGGGATTAACGACTGCACAGAGGGGAGTACGAGGAGAGAGAGAGGTTCAACATTACAGAGAATAAGAGAAGAAGTGGAGGAAGAAACTGACCTAAAGTGACCTCTGGTGCTCCTTGATGTGATATTGTTTCTATTTAATATGATACTTCTAAACTTGGCTTCATCATTCAACTTCAATATAATTAATTTTAAGGTTAGCTGTGTAGGATTTAGTGACATCTAACATTAAGGTTGCAAAACTGAAACTTTTTTTGTGTATCAAGCATGTAGGGGAACTATGGTGGTCAGCACAAAGCATGAATGGCCCCATCTAGAGCCAGGGTTTTGGAGGTTGGGAGTCACCAAAGAAAGTTTTGTTTGTGCTTCCCTCTGACCTTTCTCACTCCCACACTATGCCTATTTGTACATTTTCCTCTGAAGTTAAACACAACCCTTCACACACCATGTTCTGCCTCATGTAATTAATATTATGGTGTCTGATACATTTTAATGTCCCATGTTTGGTGTATTGAAATAAAAGCTCTCTGTGAGATTCCTTGTTGAGATTAGGTAATGTCAATTTTTGTGCTGCAACGTGCAGGTAACCTGTTTGCCTCCCTCTCCCTCTGCCTGTTACTTAAGAGACTAATCTTATAATAACATGAAAATCTCTCATTTAAACAGGGGCAACCTTTGTGTGCAAAGAGCTTAGGAAAGGCCAAAATGAGAATGTGGATTGTTTTACACGTGAGGCAGGACGTCAGCTCAGGATCACTCTGAACCTGTGTTTTATTTTCATGACATGAAAGGAAGAAATGAATTAAAGCAGATTTACTGATCAGATCACAGACGTTTAACTCTAACAAATTGGAGCATAAAGATAGACTCCGGTAAACCTTCTACTGTTCATTATATGTGTCATAAAGAAAATTTAAAGGTACATTTTCAGCCACTTTGCTGTGAAATCAAATGGATCCCCTTTGAGAGTTCAAAGTTTCTTAATCTGGATGTGTGAGCTGGCTCATATGACAGACGCCGCAGAGGGCCAGCTGATCTGATCAGCAGGATTTTCTGACTAAGGGCCTCGCACACAACGCTCAACCGCTGCTATTTCAACACAAAAGGCAGCCAATCATGTCAAGACACATGTGTTAGATGCTCTTAAAGCTCCCACAATAATAAATGGCTGCACTAGAACCGAAGCTGTGAATTCACTCCTCCTGCCTGGAGTCATCTTTTACGATTTCCCTTGCAGTGTGAGACTTAAAAAAAAGCATTTGATGTGTCCACCCCCTGCGTCCAGCTCTGCTCCTCTCATGTTTGTCATGTGTTTGAATTAGAAGGTGAAGTAATACTGACTGACGTCTGTTATCAGACTGACATTCAGCTGTGGTGCAGCAACACTCGCTTTAACTACACCCGTCTGCTTTCAGATCTCATTTCAAAGTGGAGAACACTTTATTTTGGTGATACTGTAATACTGTCACTATACAGTTGTCTAAAAATATGTGGTACAAAGTGTCACATTAATGACTGTAAACTGTGGTAGAAACAAGCAAAGAAATGAGACCATGAAGAGCTAGAGGAATGGAGATGTTTTTAATCTGTCTTTCATTACCAGAAACTAAAAGATTTGCTCTATTTACTCTGGAAGAAGAGCATGTACTTCCTGTTTTGGAGACAGACAGACAGACAGACAGACAGTCCTTTATGATGCTTTTTTAATGTAATGTCCCCTTTTTGCCTCTTCTTCGACAGCATTTTTTAGCCATGCTAGTTAGGGATGTAACCAAAAACTCACAATTCAGTAATACCAGAATTAAAAATACCACAATAAGATATCTATCTTGATATTAAGCAAGAAAAATTATGACTCCTAAAAATTAACTTAATTAAATGATAAATCTGGTGTGACGTGTCGCCATTTCCTTGTTCGTTCTGAGCCTGTCTCTGTGAGTCTGTCTATGATTGCGCCCTCTGCTGTTCTAACAAAAATGATACAATCAGGACATGACATTAAGTTTCTTAAAAAGGGAAAATTAAATCACCAGAGATTTTGGCCAGTTTTAGGTGGTTGGAGGAACATTTTAAACCAAAAACAAGATGAATTCTTGTTACTCCACTGCACACTGAACATATCAGAGCTCCAAGCGTCAGAGACGGCTACAGCTAACGACACAGTTTTCAAAACACAACATGGTTAAATAATTGCTGGTCAGTCCACTTCTTTGGTCAAGACTTGATTATCTAACTATGGATGGACTGCTATGACATTTGATACACATTTATGGTTTCCAGACAATAAATCCTTATGACTTCAATAATACTCTGACTTTTTCTGTAGCACCACCAGCAGGTCAGTTGGTTTAAAGTATTAAGTATTAATTCAATACTTTAACTAATGACATCACCATCAGCCTCAGCTGTACATTAGTATAAGTAATTAATTAATGCTGGTTTGCTAACATTTGCTAACATAAGATGGTGTAACTAAGTTGGTGTAGTTGGTAAACATTATACCAGCTATGTTTTACTTGCTCACATTACAAATCCTCCAAACTAAACTTTTTTCTTCTGTTTGGGACTGTAAGTAAAAACACTGATGTCACACATCTTGGTAACTCAACCATAGAATCACCCCAGCCAACATTTGTATGTGGGGCCCATGTAGGTAGTTAATCGGCTAAAAACATGGATCCTATATGGGATTGTCCATGGGTGCCATAATGGCCCCATTCCAGTTTCCCACATAGTTGGGTTTAATCAAGTGGGCCTCAGATAGGTTATGCTACAGCTACCTGGGTACCAAGTGGGTACTGGCCCAAAATGGGCATCTTGTCTGGGGTCCACTTGGGTAAACCTACTCATGAGGGCAACTGGCATGGGGCCAATGTGGAACCTGTGGACGACATATAGGGCCCATTTTCACGTCCATTTATGACCCACATGGGCCTCACATACAAATGTTGGCTGGAACAGTAATGCAACAACAACATCTGCCTTTGCTCCTAACAGACAACAAACAGAGACCATCTTGCGATGTGATCACTCCAGGAATGGTACAGCGATCAGAGACTTAAAGCAAACACTAAGCCCCCAGATGACTGGCACTGCTTTTGCACTGTGGGGCCCCTAGAGTGGGTGCACAAGAGACTTCTGCCAACCAAGCCAGCTACCTCCAGTTAACGCTCCACTAACTTGAATGGGGATAAAATGATTTAATTATGCAGCGCTTCTGGACTCAAATTGATCAAATCCTGACAGTGAAACAAGTTATTTTGCTTGGTTTGAGACAAAAAGTCATTTTGTGCCACATGGCATCATGTGATGGATTTAATTACTCCGTTTGGCCTCTGCAAAAAATTGCTTCAAAGCCAAGTGCACCTACTGGGATCCTGGGGATCCAACCCCTTCTTGCTCGGCCACACCATCTTCAACCTCTGCATTTATTGTAATCTCAGCCACACACCTGTAATGTTTCATGATTGCATCCTGCACATTTGCAACGCTATTATGTTGACAAAATCTATCCACAGACAGACGAATAAACACGCGCCAAAGTTCTCAAAACAGCTTCTGTGGTTGTTCCAGCTTCAATAGGTGTCACCAGGACTACATGTACCATGATGTTACAAACACACACAGACTCATAAGGTGACCGTAACACCAGTCGTAGTATGTTGTCACAGCTGGTAAACGTTGTTTCCAAAGACGTCAATCTCAACATTCTTGGTTACATTCAATAACGATGCTGTTTTCTGCCTGACACTTGTTTCCAAATTTTCAGACCAGCAACTATTATTTATATAAATTATTCATGAATTTAAAATGACAGCATGTCTGTGGAAACAAAACAACATCAGTGCCGTTACTTACTTAAACCCTCTATCTCTTAACAAGATGACCTCAGAGCCTCCCCACGCAGGTTTATTACCAAAGAAAGGACTCTTGTTTGTATCCAAGAAAAACCCTTAACAGGCCCTTAAACTCAACATGTCTGTCCCTCACAGTAATTGAATATATGAGCATGAGGAGAAATTGCTCTCACAGTGCATCTTCTGTAACTCAACTCCCATCTACATTTTATACTTAAGGGTTATGTTTAGTGTGTGTGTGTGTGTGTGTGTGTGTGTGTGTGTGTGTGTTAAACTAGACAGAAGAGGGCGCTGCTTGATTGATTCTGTGTCACGGAGGGTTCAGGTTTCAATAAACATCTCCATCCTGCAGCTGATACAATATAATAATATATAGATATTTTCTTTTTTCTAACGTTGTATCTTTACGTCACACACAAGGGAATTTTTCTTTTTATAAGTGAAAATCTAAAGGCTAAGAAGTGAAGTGAAGTGTGTGAAATGGTAAAAACAGAATCAAAAACTACTGTCAAGTTTTTGTTTTTTAACTTTATGGAGGCATGACAACATGAATGTAACAGTCACGGTATGACAGCATGGATATACAGCCCATCTATCACCAAACAAATAAAGGTCTGATGGTAAATGTCACAAAAAACACAGAAATAATGAAACACTAGAGGATGAGATGTGATAATGAGTCACTTCAGACATAAATCAAAGTCTAAGTATGATACAGACAGCGAGCATGATGATAAGAACTGGATTGCATTTTAATTCTCAGAATGACCTGATGTGGAAACAACAAACAAACAATAAAGTGGCCTTTAAAAAAATAACAGCACGCAGAATCTCTGATATGTATACAGAAATACAAAGCAAGTATCTGTCGAACATCACCCCTCCACACCTGGTGGTCATAGGTGACTGCACAGGTTTATGGGTAATGGTTTTAGTTTTTGAACATGTCACACAACAGTTTCTCCATGGGAGTGTTTCCGATGGTCCTGTGGAAGAACAGCAGCTCTATCCGCTCCGAGTTCACAAAACGCAGAGAGGGGAGAAGAAGAAGCAGCTTTCCAAACCTGAATATAGACAAGAAATGAAAATGTAATCAACTTCTGCATCCGAGAGTAACCTCAGACACAAATCTTAATAAGCAAGTTACAAGTCAACGTCAGGTCTTAATGCTGACCTTTAAAATGACATTTGAACATTTAAAATTTAAACATTTTTTAATGCTGTTTTCAGAATACTTGAGACTAATAAATTCAAACAAACAAGTCTATTTTTTATCAAAGCTACAGTGAGGCAACGTGAGGCTTGCCTTCCACAAAGTTGAGTAATTACTATTGGTCCACTTAATTTCGAGTCTCCACTCTAGTTAGTGAGGTCAAATCCTGATTTCTGTGACATAAATCTGATTCAAGCCCACAGTTCTGATGTCTGATTCTAAATGTTGCTCAGTGGAGCTTTCTTATTAATCCACTAAATAACTCACATATTAAAAAGTGAGACCTTCAAAAAAAAAAATAATAAAGTGAGAAATTTCTTGTAGAAGAGGAAACACAAAATACAGTTTCACTTTAACAGTTAAAGAAAATAGACAATGAATCTAACAAAAGAGGCTCCTCTTTAAAGGTTGCTAATAAATGAGTATCATTAAAGTTATACTATGCATGATTTTTTTAAAAAGTATAGACTCATATGAAGTAATCCCTCTTAATCATCACTTATGACCTACTATACATTTTCTGCTTATCGTCTGTGTTTGAGACTTTTATGGGTGTGCGCCCCCACAGCTCTCAGGTGAGATGGAGGCTTTTAAAATAGGAAGCGACCAGGTGCCAGACTATAAGCAGCAGGCATCCAGGAGACACACGGCAATCGAAAACACAAATATCTCCAGGCAAAACATCAAATGAGAGTGAATCTGGGATTGGCTTTTACTTTCACTTGTGAGCATGAACAGTAACCAACAATCCTGCATAGTATACCTTTAACCTAAAAGTTAATTTCCAACAACAAATAAACTCTTGGCTTGTAACATAGAAAAGACCACAAATAAATAAGATTTAACAGTGTAAAAGTATTTAAAGGTGATTTTTTTTATATGGTATGAGGCGCTGATGTTGTAAGACAGATAACACACCTTGCTGGTTGACTGGGGTAGTGTGATCGGATGTGTTGTCCCAGCATCACCTGAGACTGATCCTGCAGGTTCTCCACTTGTTCTGGATCTTTTAACCCACGAGTCTCTGTGGAGGAGAGGAAACACCAACATGAGTCACACAAATTCAGACAAATACTTTTAGAAATTACTGAACAAGTAGCTGGGTAATATGAGCTGGTGCCACTCTCCGTGCATAATTACACTCATTCATATTTACAGCTGAATTATTTATGTCTAAAGAAGTCAAAATGGTTAATTAGCCTGAGAGCAAAATTGTCTTCTAGAAAGAAGCTCATAGAACATAAAAAATGTAACAGAAATTCTGATAAACAATGGTGCTGGAGGAAAGGCCAGGAGGAAACTGAAATACTGAGGAGCCTAAAGCCAATCTGCCAGCCTGTCAGAGTTCAGTCAGCCTCACCTGGCTTGAAGAGCACGATGGCCTTGAGGCAGGCGAACTCAGTGGGATCGACGGCGAGGGCCTTGAAGCGGCTGAAGACCTCCTGCAGGAGGCGCAGGTCCAGACTGGTGTAGCTGGTCTTTCCCTGCATGCCGGGGCAGAGGTCTGGCAGAGAGAGCAGCGGGCAGCTGTCCAGAGGTAGAGACCACTGGATGGCACAGAGCAGGAAGAGCTCGCTCCACGCCTCCTCCAGCAGGATCACCTGGGGGGACACGGACAAGAGTCGTAAAGTTAAAACTGTGAAGGAAATAGATTCATCTTTAACGTCACTGTTTAGTCAAAGTAGTTACAAATGTGGTATATGGAGGACCATTCCTGCCAACACATAACTGGTTGATAAATGATGATATGTAATTTCTAAAATAAATTATCAAATTGTTTTAATTTTTTGTTGAGTAGAACTAGAGTAAAATTAAGAAAAATTAAATGACTACAGTTTGACCAAAACTCAGTTCAATTCAATTCAAACAACTTTATTTGTCTCAAAGTAGGGCAATTCAGTTTACAGTCTCCAGCTGAATATCAGTCACAATCAAATCCAAACTAATATAGTTTTCATCAAAAGACAACAAAGAACAATGAAACTAAACAGGTGCCAAATTAAAACTTCTCTCAAGTTTCTTTTTGTATAGCTTTGTGTAACTTCATAGAAAATACAAAATATGAATAAATAAATAATCTGACAGTAAAAAAATGTAGCCTGTGTCAAAGTTGAATCTCACCTGGTCTCTGAAGGGCAGGTTGGAAAACACGGGCAGGTTCTTGGCCCACTTCACTGACATGAAGAGCAGCCTCGCTGAGGTCTCGTACACGTTTTCGGAGCTGGACGGGTACAGAGCCATGTGGTATTCTGAGGACACTCGCTCTGGCTCGTTGCTCGTGACATCAATGTTCTCGTCAACTGAAAACAAAAAAGATGAGGTTAGGCTTGTGCAGAACTCGACCTGGTTTATGTATCTATGTTAGCATTTTGGCTTTAGCCTGTTAGCTTGTTAACATGCTAATATTGGCTTGCTACATAAGTCGTCACCAGCATATTATTTCATATTTTGGTTGTATTTATTGTTTTATCATTGTATTGTATGATTGATTGGAATGAATTTATGGGATTCTTCAGACACTCTAAAACACAATGACAACTATTACCTGCATTAATTCAGTGATTAAGACCCACAGTGAAACATCCTAAAGCAGGGGCTCTCAAAATTTTGATGACTGAGTCCTCCACCACAATGGCTAACATTAGCTGACAGTGTTAGCATTGATATGTCTCAATGTGCCATGTAACCAGTAGCTTCCTAGAGGTTGTCATCTCTAACCTGGCGGATGCTTGTTAAGGGGGCGCAGTTTGAAGTTATGGTCGAGTAGTGTATTAAATGTAAGGTATTGAAAGTGAAAGTATTGAAATGGACCAAATGAATGCATTTCATGTCATGTTCAGGGGCCACAAGAATTGTTTCTGAGGGCTGCCATCGGACCACAGGCCACATTATGTCCAAGTATGTCCTAGGCTTTTAATTTGTTTATATTTTTATGGTAGGCATGTTGAAATTCCAACTTTGTGCTTCATGCTAACACTGATGAATTTTAGCCTTCTTATATGAAATGATATTCAATATAAAAACTGTTTCTGTTTTCTGAATCACAGGTATAATCAAATTAAAGCAACCCCTTTGTCTAATCTGATCTTAAATCTCAAACCCTCCTCCTCCTCACCGTCCTCAGGCTCCAGCTTGGCGCAGGTCTCGGCCGTCATGAGGCTGGCCATGAAGCGGTGGTTGTTCTGGGGACTGATGCAGCGCTGGGGGGCGACAGAGGAGGTGATGGCCATGGAGGAGGTGATGTGGGGCCACGTGATGACAGAGGAGGAGGAAGAGGAAGAAGAGGAGGAGGAGGAGGAGGAGGAGGAAGAGGAGGTGGGCTCCCGTGTGGTGGCCAGGTGCTCCTTCTCAGGGTCCACGTCAATGGAGTCCAGGCGGACCTGAGCTGTACTGCGGGGCTGTCGCTCATTCTGCACTGCTGCAGGGAGGAAGAGGAGGGAAATAATGATGAGGTACATCTGTAGTTTTCATTTTGACCTCACAGTGTCACATTTGAATCTCTAACAGTGAATGTTTCTAACATTATATGATGTATTTTTTTACATTTTAAGTTCACTTAACATGATATAGTATGAAAAAGCACAAATAAAACTAGTCTCTATTCCACCTTTTTATTAAAAATAAAAGACCAAATTGTTTTAATGGTCACCAACTCTGGAATGCAAACACTGTCCCATTATTTCAAACTGTGGAGTTATTTATCATATTTCACATCAATAAACCTCAGTAGATACTTTTGTATTTCAATTTCTAAACAATTTCCTTCCATTTTCTTGGATTTGTTTTTTGTTAATAGGCCCCAGATCCATTTTTATCACATCATCGTTGACCTTTAATATAAGCAGTTCCACAAATATAGTGTTAACCAGTTATCAATTTAGACATAGAGGTGCAGTGACATTGAATCTGCAGTCACTTCTCATTTTTGATTTTTAAAAAAAATCTGATGCAATCTTTGTTTTTTTGTGTGTGTTTTTGTTTTTAATCTGTAATATTTCTTGTTTGGAAATTGTTTTTGTTTTGTTTTTTTAGATAAAAATCAAAAATAAATTATATTAAAAATAATAAAATAAATAAAATAATTTAAATTAAATTAAATTAAAACTAATAAAATATATAAGATAATTAGAATAAATAAAATAATAAAATAAAATAAAAAATATTTTGTCTGTTCATAAATTGGTGATTAGCAAATACAGTTGCCTTAATTGCCATTTTCTCTGGGTTCCTCCTTTTTTTTTAATCCCACCTGCGCATTTACTTCTGTTATTGTGTTTGTTTTTTGTCTTGTTTTATAAGGTGAACGAATAAAAGAACTACGGAACTTACCGTCCTTATTCATGCCTGCCTGCAAACACTTCTTCAGCCGACACGCCTGGCACTGGTTGCGATGAGCTTTGTCCACTGGACACATGCCTGTACCAGCCTGGCACCTGTTAACCCACAGCCAAGATGTTAAAGGGAGAGTCTACTCAAAACTAACTGCATGCGACAATTAAAAAAACACAAATTTATGGTGGAATTTTTCTGAAATTCATACATATTCTTATGAAAATAAAAGCCACCTGTTTGCCATGACCAACACTTTTATTCTAACCTAAATTTAAAAAACTTGTTGTGGTCTAAGGTAGTGTAGCTCATTTTTTACCTCAAAATAAATCACAGGTTTTGAAATACAAAGACATTAAACAAAGCTTTCATTAAAGTTATTCATGTTCAACTCCACTTTAAAAAGTGTATTTACATTAATACTATATGCTCAGTGATATTATAGTGAAATAACTGTATATTTTCAGTTTCAGTATATTCTGTTTCTGTGACAAAAAATACACATTTGTACGTTTTGCTCTTAAAAAACATGGCCATGAGAATGTTTTAGATAAAGTGCTGACAAGGATGCTAACCTCCCATAATGCACCTCGTGTAAAAACTTTAATAGGGTAGGGGACATATGTAATCATGGTATCTGAAGTTAAATTAAAGGACAAAATCAGATGCTCAACCCCAGTTTTTATCCAAAGTTGAAGCTTTCTCTTGCCTGTAAATGAGCCTCCTCCTCACGCTGCGTTTGAAGAACCCGCTGCAGCCGTTGCAGGCGTAGATGCCGTAGTGCTTCCCGCTGCTGGTGTCTCCGCACACTTTGCAGACCAGAGCCGGGCTCAGAGCTTTGCCCGGGGGTGGACTCTTGGCTGTGAGTCAAAACACAGTCACACAGGGCCCGTCGGTTAGTGCCATTCATGTGCTCTAGTATTGTTTCATACATGTGCCTGCCATCTGTACTGTCAGCTCAGTCTACTGCAACAGCTGTTTAGGCCTGAAAATCTCATTTAGTGGATGATTCTGAAATTAAAACAATAAAATGGCTGGAGGCAGATTAACAACTAACATAAACGATGCAGGGATACTGATATTAATCCAAATAAACCCATTAATTATACATAAACTCAGATAGTTGCATAATACATGCTTATTTTGGCCTCATTCTACTTTAATTAAGTATATCTATATGTAAGAAATGCACACTAAAAATGGATTTCTGTGCATTTTCATAATCTTTCAGTTTTACTTCATGCTTGTGTGGTGTTAAAGAAAGTTAAATTAAAGAGATGATTGAATATTCAAAGAGACAAAAGGCACAAAATCTGTTTTGTCATCAAATGTGCAAAGCTCAAAAAGAAAAATTAAAAACTTAAAATGTTGTATTTTAAAAACCTCCATAAGTCTACTTTTTTATTTAATCAAAGGTCAAGTTTGCCTCTTTCAGGCTCCATGGACACCTGTTGCTCCTGGTGGTCATGTGTAACTCTTACCTCCTCTACTGTCGTCCGTCCCGCCACTCCCCGAGGACTCACTGGGGGAAGCAGACGACATCATGGGGATCTTCAACAAGTGATCCTCCATTACAAAATGTCTTCTCCAAGTGTTGTGAATGGAGATAAGAAACTTTAGTCCTCTTCGCTGGAGTTTGTCAAATCTCAAGATACAATTTCCAGGATCCAAACACAAAAAGTTCCTTTTGGGTTCCTTGTCACCAAAAACAATTAGAATATGAGATATGTATCTGTCAGGCCTCCTGTGGTCCCAAGTGGGCAGATGGTGGTTTGAGCCTCTACTGTGTGGAGCTGCAGATGGGCTGGGGTCCTGCCATGAGCTCGAGCTCACACTTGTTGCACGTCAACAGGTTGCGTGTCCTCCCTCTGGACGTCAGGGTCCGTCACTGTCTGTGAGTGCTCCTCGGTGGCAGCTCCTCAAAAAGGAGCCCAGGAGGGGGGTGGAGAGGGAGGATTAGCCCCACGCGCTGTGTAAGCAGCATGCTTATTTGTCATCCTCTTAATCTTTACTGTTCATGTACTGGATCAATCAGTCACATTGCCCGAACATTGGTGCTGCTTAGATCTTCATCATGTCTGCAAACAAAAACAGACGAAAAACAGCAACAGTGACGACTCCTAAAACTCTCTGATGGGAGAAGAGCTGTAACTTTAGACCAGTTCCCATGCAGCTCCGTCTCCTCGTGTCTCCTCTGTCCACGAGGGCATCCATCAGTCAACGCTCTTCTTCGGTATCTGCATTTGATTACATGAGGTGCACATTATTATATTTACCAGCCTCTTCAATTTGTATTTCCCCTCCTTGTTTTGCCTCTGAATTCCAGCTCCATTTCCCCCTGCTGTATATTTGATCTGTGCGATTGCCTCCCATTCATAATGACCCCAGTGTTTGCTGAGGAGCTGCCTATTAACTCCCATTTCACTCTTTTTTGACAAACTAGAGATCATCCGCTTCCCTCTGGCTGCCAGAAGAAAAAGGTCACAGAGGGAATAATAGAGTTTTGAATGGCTGATGTTTTAGGCGACACTAATTTAGCTCATTCATGAGGGTCTCCCATTTATTATTAAGGAGCCAGAATCAGTGTTTAGCTGCAGCTAACAGGAGACTGGAGGACCAGAGCTGCCAAGGACCAGAGAGTTTGAAACAAGCAGCCTTGTAATCATATATAAATGTAATTGACTTGTTGTTTACGAAAGTGCCAGACAATTTGGGGCAAAATGAAAAGCACTTGCTGTGATTAGGACAAGAAAGGCCTCAAAACAAAGACAAACAAGCCATTAAAAATACTTGACTGTAAAAAATCAAGTCTTGTGGGATCGCTGTGAAAGCAGGAATGTTTCTCTTGTTAATGACAGTTTCACATCTTTTAACTTTCTGAACATGTTAATCATTTGTTTCTTGCCACAGTTGAGTGGTTCAAGTGAATGATCTTAATCTGTCGAGGGCACAAGCTGCCATGTTTCTGACATCTGTGCGCTGGCATCTGGACTGTTGTTTGTTTGTTTTTCTGTTTACTGTTTGTGCCTGCTAATAACTGTGTTCATGACTGATCTTAGATTGGACAAATGAGCACTCATTAGTTTTCACAGAGGAACAAGCTGAAACATCTGACAAATCATCGCCTTAGAAAGCTGCATCCAGCAGACACACAGCACTCATCCTACAGACTGGGTACACACAGACACCAGAGGTAAACTTTCTTCATATCATACAGGGGCTTTATTCAATCTTTCCAATTTCTGTAATTTTGTCTATCAGTTTCTCCCTAGCAGGGCCAGCCCTAGCCATTTTGGTGCCCCATGCGAGATTGAGATTTGGTACCCCCNCCCCCCCAAACCACATTACCCCACCAGTACTGGGGACACAAACATCAGGGACCACAATGGTTTCAAGACAAAAAGTGCTGCCAGGGTAGGTGTAAATCATAAAATGTCACAGAACTCACTAATAGTAGTAAAACAGCATTTTTATTTAGCCTAATTGCTAATAGGCTATTAGCCAATTTGCAACCCAGTAATCCAGTGTAGACCTAATTCATTGATATATTTCAGTATCAATTGAGCTTACTACAATGTGCTATGATGCCAAGTGGCACTCACATCTCTGGTGCAAGCCAGTGCAGAAATCTGTTTTTGTGGATAAGTTCGTGTTAGCCATTATCACTGATATTTGTCAGCGAAATTTCAGCCCAAGAAGGAGCAGTTATCCAGATAGCTAGCTATTGGCTTGCCATTCAGTCTCATATGCTTCAATCTGTAACATTTTCTGAGTCCAACAGCTATCATAGCATTATTATGTAGCATTAGCTTTTTTGCTACTTAGCTAGCTAGCTGCAACAAATGAAACATCTAACGACGTTACACACAGATCGGCATTTTAAAGATAATCTAAGACAGACGACATACCTCTATATCAGACTTTCTTTTCCTCCTCCTCCCGCACCTGAAGGCTTGGACCTTTTCTTATTATGAAATGCAGGTAAAACGTAAATATCTGCCTATCTTGACCAGATTTTGACACAGACCCCACTCTCAGTGCGCACAGTACAGGTGCAGGGGCAGGGCAGATGAAAAATTTTGAGGAGCAGGGGTGCAAAGTGTATTTCTTTCTTTCTTGCTTGCTTGCTTTCTCTTTCAATTTTTTTTTCTGTATTTGTTCATTTGTTACCTGCAGAAAAAAATAAGATGGGCGCCCACTGGCGAATTTTTATTATTATTATTTTTTATTTAATTTTTTTCCCAGCACCCACCAGACAATGTGGCGCCCTAGGCGACCGCCTATATCGCATATGCCTTAAGCCGGCCCTGCTCCCTAGTGACTTCATGTCATTGTTTTCTGTCTCAGTTTTAATTTGTCAGCCTCCTCAGGATGTTGCAATGCTCCAAATGCAACAGTTAACGCAAACTCAACCAGTGTCCGTGAATTTTACACGACCTTGAAATTTTGTCCAATCACTGCAACTTTTACGCAAATTTGACCAGTCATCGTAGTTTCCTGTGAGTTTCACCAATCATAGCAGTCCCCCCACATAACGCCACCAAACTGTCTTCCTTGTTTCTGGTTGTAAAGATGCAGACTTGTGTGACACAAACATCTCACATTTATTGATAAAATTTACAGCTAAAGACTGAGCAAGGCAGTTCCCTGTTGTTCTGCATTCAAGCGGGGACAATGCAACATTGTGGTAGAAACTTTTTTCCTTCATAAACACACACAAAGAATGACTGAAATGTGTTGACAACAGACAAGACAAATCACCATGACAGAAACGGTTGCATCCACATCAGGTACACATGCTGAAAGAATCAATTTTAATTTTTTTCTGTAACGGCTTATCCTGTTAGCGGTCATGGAGGGGCTGGAGCCTGCAGCTGACATTGGGCGAGAGGCGGGGTACACTCTGGACAGGTCACCAGACTATCACAGGGCTGACGCATAGAGACAGACAACCATTCACACTCACATTCACACCTACGGACAATTTAGAGTCACCAGTTAACCTGCATGTCTTTGGACTGTGGGAGGAAGTTGGAGTACCTGGAGAAAACCCACGCTGACACGGGGAGAACAAGCAAACTCTAGGTTTGAACCACAGGGACTGATTAGTGCTTTTTAGAAGTACTTCTGTACCAATGTATTGGGGTCCCGATGGCCCCCAGTCCAAAGCATCCACATCCACCCACCTCCACCACATCTAGTGTCAATAGATGGATTATTGAGTTCATGTTTGCCATGGGTCCTGATTAAAGTATCACACACTACAACCTACAATACTGCTCTTCCTACTAAGGTAAGATGATGTTTAAAAATAACTAACTGTATCCTAAAATAATAATCTGTTTATTTATTTCTCAGATGACATTTATTACATAACTCAAATAGTTTTGTAAATAGATAAATTAACATTTTGGTTGTTTCTTACAGTGGTTTATTTGTGGGTCCCGAGGCACTTTATTTGGTCGTGCTTGTGTGCTGAATATAATAGTTGATGAGGGTTCATGTTCACTTGGAGTCATATTTTCGTCTCCACCACGACTGAGAAAAATGAAACATTTGCATTCATATAAAACACAATTTGACAAGAAAATTATTTTTGAAAAAAAAAAAAAAAAATTAAAAAATCTCATGACTTTTCCTCACTGACTATTCAAAGTTTCTTTTGAGGGGTGGGGTGGTGCAGAGGGGGATTTGAACTCATGACCTCAGTATTTTTTTAATCCTGGTTAAATCCTGACTGCGAGCGACATATTGCACAGTCATCTGATCCTTTATCTTTAAAAAAATGTTCATTTGTGCAGCTGATACAACACAATGTTGATTAACTTAAATGACTATTTTGTATCTGTGTATTAGAAAAAATTAAAACAACTGTCTTGAACCATTTCATAGCTGCTTAACTCTGAGTAGAAAATTTGCACGGAGGGCAAAATATAATGCCGATGTCAGCGACTTCCAGCTCCGCAATAACAAGGCTGGACCGTAATTGGAAAAACAAAGTGGAAAGCAGTTAAGTAGATTAGAGTTTGACCACATTTTGTCTGCCTGGGCACCAGAAGACAGGCGGGGGGAAGACACACAATTAGCTCAAAAGATTAAAAGAGCAGCAAAGACACACTTCTTGTGGGCATCTTTAGCCATATGGTGGCTACTCTCTTCATCCTTGGCCAACACACTGTTGACCTTTGTAAGATTTAACAATTAATTAGTCCTCTGAGATCAGAGTGTTTCTTGGATTCACCCAATTACACATTGATTACTGATGTGGATATGAGTCAGTCATGTTTCTATAAACAGTCAGGAAATACATAAGGTACGCACATTTAAAAAAAAAGTTTCATTTTAAAAGTTATTACAATATACAAACTAAAGAATAAAAAAAGAGTGGAGGGGTCGGCAGTGTATGTTATCTCAGTGTCCCAAGTTTGAGTCTAGAATGAGTCCTTTTTAAAGCTCACCCTCCTTTCTGTCACCATAGCAACTGACAACAACATGGCAATCAGAAGACAGACAATCTGGAAATCCATCGGTAAAAAAAGACAAAAAAACTTTTTCTTTTCTTCCTTTACCTCTGGAGGCACAGCCCGGAGTTTTTCGACTAACGGAAGTGCAGGGGCCTTGACGATCGCTCACCCCCTTCACTTCCGGCGGTGCCCCCAGAGAATCACGTGTTGTTTACAAGTAGGCTACTTAGGGTAGAAAACCAGCAGAGTTTAGCTATATATCACAGTTTTCACGTCACTATATCACCGTGTAGACTAATCTGATGTTTGTTAAATCTATAAACACAATGATTGAACAAACGTTACTATTTCTGTGTGCACGTTTTGTAATTAACAACATGGTTAT